TTCCATCAGGATTTTGTTACATTCACTGCGGTTTCGTGCCTTTCCAACTCAATTGCGTGGATGGTTTAAACCATAAGATATCTAGGGTTGCAATAAGGGTCAAGTTTTATCAGTAAGATCTGCCTTGATATATATTTTAATATTGCATTAATATGTTTATGCCTGTCCATAAATATGTGGGTGCATTTAAGCATATTACCCCATACACATTCGTATAACATAAAGATTGTGTAGCTGACCATATCTAATCACCAGATATTCGTCGAGGTGAAAGCAGAAAGTCATGATGATTGTATGGACACCTCCCGTGGAGTTTGTAATGGTCACGATGATTTCTCAGCTCGTCATCTCGTGAGGCCCAGCTCAACCTCGGCCTTGCTTAATTGGATACCATCAACACGCACATTACTCTTGTTCATAAGTCTCAGGATTTTACAGTTTTTTTACTCGGACATGCAGTCAACAGATGTGCAGCTAGAGCTAAAAAATAACGTCCAGAATAAGTAAGAACAAGATGGAGTCACGACAGGCTTCATTGTATACGAGTTGTCTTTGAAAGTTTTATTACGACACTGAGAAAGGTAATCTGTCATTATATACTTTGACACGCTCGTATTTTGTTGCTCCTCTGAAAACTAGAAAAACAAACTTTAGCGGCCGTAGACTCAACGTAGATAAATAAATCCCCCTGAAAGGGACAAGGGTCATTCCCAGGTTCGGAACCATAATATGTTGTTACTGTTAGAATGTGATACTCTCGAGTGTACAAAATCATTGCGTGCTTAAAGAAGGCAATAATTTTATCATAAGGTTCGCTATACACCTATGAACACACATACGTGGCATGAAACCTTTCTGAGAAAATCCAGCCAACAATTAAAACAGAATAACGCCCATTTTTGTGAGTTAATGCTACCCATAACTCTTGAGATTTTATGAGCTCATCTAGAAACCAACACTTTCTATTCTGCAGGGAGCAAAAGCACTATTTGTGCTCCTCCGGCTAGCAATTGAGTTTCTTTTCGCGAAATTTATGATCATGTACCGACCCAAACCATTCTGCCATGTTTATTATACGCCTGTTGTCAGAAATGATTCGATTGTTCTTCCAGATAAAAACACAAGCTAGCAACAAAAATCATTCCAGATTCTAATTTTAGTATCCGCTAAGTTGTCTTGATGCGATTTATAAATTACATTCACACAAACTGAGATTCAGCCTTTTGCATCAAGTATTGTTTTCCGGAGTTGAATTAATTATCTTTCTGATTAAATAATAATTCATAACACAAACAATAAATATGGAGAGCAGAAAAATCATTAAAAGAGTTTTGGCTTGTCTTGTACTATTTTCAGTATGTCTTATCTTGTTAGCTAATTGATATAAATATACATACAATACGCAACATAATTTATATTTAAATAAAATAAATACGATAAATATTGTGAAAACCAAATTCCATATGCTTCACACACACCTTATTAATTACTAATCCTAAGATCCATATAATCCAAGTAATCTATAAGCTACAAGCACTAATTTACCTAATCAACGAGAGAAACTGTCTTTTTAAAAAACTTGTCAATTGTGCTTACACCACAAAAATGCTGCAGCTGAGTGAAAGTAAAAATGATAAAAGAGAAAGTGGGGTCGACGTGTGTAGATTTGGACGTACGCCGTAAAATATAAGGACTCAAGAATTCGTTGCTTAAAATAACGAACCTGGGCGAGCAACTTATCGAAGCACTAGCCGATATCCGTCCTCTTCTCGTTACCTCATCTCCTCACAGTTAGAGCCGGAGGACGTGTTTAAGGAAAACTGGGAAGCCAGGTTTCCAATTGTGTGTTATATTAATCCCCAGAGACCCACACTTTTCCGGGGTTAAACTAATGATTCCCGTTTATTTTGGCATTTGTGGCATTACTTGTCACGACATACCATCTCTTACTCCATCCTACCATTATCGTTGTCAGCCACTTTGCCCAAATAAGGTAGCCCGCATATATTCTCGAGTCCCTCTGGGTGAAGGTATTTACCACTCCTTGCACTAACGACACAACAAAAACATCCAACCCCGTACTTACCGGAGGCTCCTGACAATTTCTCAATGTATTTCGTTCGCTAACTTTGCTTTCCCTAATTTCAAGGTATTACTAAACTGTTTTCTCACCGGAAACTAATCATCAGCTAGATTTTATCTTGATCTGCGAAGAGAAAATTTGTCTAACCCGAGGAGATAATTCAAGGCGTTTGGAAGCCTGGCGAGTGTGAGAATCGGCATTTTTAATTCCAATTTTTATATATTTTTTATTATTAATCATCACAGTACCTATTTGCTACATACGTTTTACGGAAACTCAAGGTCGATTCAATAAAGATGACGAATATTGACGGATGATAACGTGTGTATTTTTAAGATTATTTAGTAGAAAATTTACAAATCTGTGTGTTTTTGCATATGGGTTTCACCAAACAACATGCAGTGCAATAAAAATTACTTTTCATAAAAAATATCAGTATTCTCAAGTTGTAAAGTGGAGAGAAATTCGGGACGACACGAGGGAACGCAATATCTCATTTTCGAGCCAACTAAGTCCCATGTCGCTTATGACACCTTCATCAACTTGACGTTTTGTCAATTTCTCGTTTCTCGTACACCATCACGTTCCATGTCCTCCACTACTTTCACCCAAAGATTCGAGTTTTCCTTCTCAATAAGAGGCGTACAACAAGGTGTTGGAGAGTAATGTCGTGCGATAATATACAGCTGAGGTTACTCTTGCTCTTAATGGGAATTGTGTGACTCGACTTGCACATTCTTTCTTATTTACACTGCAACAAAATTTTGTCCTAAAATTTATATCCAGGCACGCAGCAAAAGTTTCATACGGGAAACTGTGAACCTAACTGAGCCCCAACCAATGCAATTGTTAGCTTGGTCAGATTCTCAGTGTTTGATCTTAGAAAAAGCTAGAAAAGGGGACTCGAGAATCAATATTTCTATATCTGACATATTCAGGTCTCTTGCTATTATTATCATTATTTTTATTTTTGGACCATTGCAACAGGAAATGACGTGGTTGTGCTGAGTGACAAAAATACTGGCAGATTTATTTGAGCAATGTTTCGGATTCTCTATAGGGTCACACTCGAAGATGTGGCTGAGAATATTTATACGTATGTTATGTACATATACCTACACAAAATTGTACTCCAAGAGTGGCAATAAGTATGCCTTCTGCTAATCAGTTTCGTCTTTGAAAACGCATTCTGTCTTGGGCATGACCTACATGTGTAATCTTTTGAACAACAACCATGGTTTAGCCAAAAGTATCTGACAAAGAAGGAAATACTTATTTTGTATAAAATTATATTGCAATTGGACAATAAATATGTACATATGTAATCGAACATTACCGAACAAGCTATTTTTGAGATGAAAAGTTCAACCCGCATGGCTGTTCACGAAATAAAGATAATTCGACTATTACTGAGGCCTATGACTCTGATGCGTATGTGTGCAGGGAAGATTCGCCCAATAGAACATTCCTGATGAGACAACGAGTCGTGGAGGATGGCAAATGAAACGGGAATTATTTGGCCAGCAGCAGCCGAGAGCATGTTGTCAGTGTTGGGATGGACTGCTGCAGTGTCTGAGAGCGTGGAGAAAGCAATGCGAAGGCAAGCTCATGAACTCTCAATGTCTTTTGTGGAACGGAGCTGGGCCGACTTGACTTCTCGTTTCCGACAGTTTAGGCGTCCCAACTTCTGGCCTGTTTTCTCCGAATGGGGTTTAAATCTTGTCTTTTGTAACAGAGATGTGCTGTGTAACATTGTAATAATATTATTATCTTTGTATTCATGCAAAGGCGTCCGGGCAATATATCTGGGATAAGACGAAGGAGGGAGAAAGAGGAGCAATCATTATATTCCTTCCAGCAGCTAACAACCATATGTATTGTGTGTATGGCCATTTGCAGCAGACAAGTGGGATGGAGAGAGAGAGAGACTCCTTCCCATTTTAATTCATTCTTGGCTCCTCACAGACCAAGAGGCACGTTGTCATCACGGGCATGGTCTGAATTAGAAAACTAACTAAACTGCTGCCCAGAGTCTTCCACAGACTTGAGGACACAATGCCAACGACATTACACTAAGCACTACTCCCACACACGAATGCGAGCATTTTTTTAATCCAACTTTTTGATTTCCAACTACCAAAAGCAAAATTTTTCTAAAAAATGTTCCCCAGTTTTCATTTTATTAAGTTATGGATGCGCTTTAACGAGGGAATGAATAGTTAGATGACTTCAAAATACTCACTGTTTTGCAAACAAATAGTGCTTGGAATGATGAGTTTAGTGGAACAAAAGTAATTTCAATTTATTTTTTACTTGGCAAAGAAGAAGAAAATACAGAGATGCATGTACTGGGTCGAGGAAAAAACTTTTTTGTGTCCGAGTGACGTCACTTTTTGTGATGTCCCGACATGGTCATCTTTTATCGGAGGACAAAGAGCTAGAAGTGATTCCGCATGCTGCACCATGCCAGAAGGAAAACAGGACAGTTTGTTATTAGAAACCTTCGTCCATCCATTTTTTCTGGTGGAAAAGTCAAGAAAAACATTGTTTTACTTTTAGCGTTGCTGTTTTTCAGCTCTATAGCAAAAAGGGTTTGATCGTGTTGTCTTTTCCATCTTTGTCTCGTTATACATTGTCCACTTTTATGAAAACATAAACATGCGCCTTAAAAAAAGAAATGGACCTCCAAGATAAAAAGAATAAAGAGTTGATAACTCTTAAAAAGCCCAACGATATTTACACAACAAATGTACCCGAGGTTGGTGACTCATTATGATTGATGTGGTTTTCCCTTTATTAGTATTATTTTGAGACCCAAATTCAGTATTTTTAAACATTTTGTTCCATACAAACGAATGAATTTATCTTATGCACGATTGCACTTAACACAAAAAAGTAATTGTTTGTAATATTGCAGGTTCAGTGGGCAATTCGACTTCAGCACCAACGCCAACTTCAATCCAATTGACCACGACGTCATCAAAGTCACTCCCCTCCATATCCTCCCAGGTTCGAGGACCAGGCTTCGAGTCTGTAATAAAGGTTGCCGCTGGTGGGAAAGAGTCCGGTATTCTGCCGACGCAGCAAGGACTTGGGAAGGCCCTCCCCACCGGGAACACCACGCCGTCGTTGATAAATTTTATTAATTCATCGTCCAACAATCCCTTCACCACGCAGAATTGGACGGAAGTGAGAGCGCAGTTCAAGAGTAACGCTTTGCTGCCATGCCAAGTTCGCAACGCCGGAGATGGAGTCACGGTAAGAAAATAACTTGACTAATTTTCATGCTAGCTACTTATCACATCTCATCATAAACGAGCGCAACATTTGTTATTTAGGCATAAAGAGCCGTAAAACTCATTAGAAGACGCTTAAAACTTTTCTCATGTTGGAGTGGAGCTGAACAGCTTCACTTGAGCGGAAATCTGGTGACTTTCTACAGCATCGTAATGGACGCAATACATAATTTAGATAAACTTCTTAAATCATAAAACTATTCAAACTTTTCCTCCCTTCTCTTTTCCTAAGATGGGAGCAAGTTTTGGGACAGTTTAGGCCGTCCTTCTCCCATCTCATCTCGTATGCACGCCAAGACTCCCTTCCTTCCAATGGTGAAAGTGAGAGAAGATGCTCCTAATGGAACATCGTATATGTACATATGTACGTGCGTGTGCATGTATGTATGTACGTATAAGGGAGCACATACATAGATACGTGTGGTAGGTATGTATGAGACGTATTGAGGGGCTGCTCAAGGAGCGGATACTGGTCTTATAAGTGGAATGTAGTTGGTATAAATTGTCCCTTTTCAAACAGAAAAATCCGCAATAAATTACAAATATCTTGATAATTTTTCAAACACTAAGTGCGTACTTTTGACATTGCATTCCTGCGTCCTGCATACTCCCATATCGGTGTGCGGATGATGGCCATGGGTGACTGGTTGTGGGGAATTATGTGATATATCCACTTGACTTTTGTCGTAATGTGAAAAGTACAAAGGGCATAATGCAATAAAGACCTTTATCTGAAAATTGGCGAAACCTTAGAACTTGGATGGAGCAGAGGCAGCGAGGCAAGGAATAAGTGTTCCGTAACCCTTCGTTATTGGGATCATTATAACTCGACTCCCATACGTACGCGGTTCCTCCCGTTTTCTCCATTTCTTTTCCCTTCAAAACATGGCTGGTAAATGAATCATGGTAGCGACGGTAGTCTGGCAGAGGTAGCGCAAATTTGCATGCCCCGTTCCTTGTATTCGTGATTAGAAAAGTGAGAGAAGTGAAAGTTTACATGTAGACTGATCATCAGTTCAACAGGCCTCAAAACAAATCGAGGCGGAGAAGTGCTCTATTAAATGAGATGAGCTAAGTAACTTTTAATGATTCGCTTTTTAGAATAGTTTTTGCTAATTGGAAATCATCAGACAGCAATGTAAATATGTAGTAATAGCCGAGCAAGACCTGAGCATGTGGGCTTTCACGAGGGCGAACGTTGTGAACTTTTTCGCCTTGATTAAGGATCAATCGAATATTGCAATTAGGAAAGTTAGAAACCAACATATGAGTTTTCTGTTCAAAATTGAAATTTAACTTTTACCATTATGTGATGATGATATTAATGTTTTGTAGTAAATGCTATCATCGTTTCCCCAGCTCAATTACATTTGCCTACCACCTACTTACATTACCCACTACTGATTGTCTTACCTTTATTCCATAAAAAAGATCTTAAAAAGGTAAGGAAAAGAAAAGTTTAAACTCCAAACTAAATAAGATGTTCTATTTATAAAGTTGATGCTTAGAAGGAAGTAATGAAAAACAAAATATTTTGCAATTTATTTTCAACTTCCAAGTCTAATGAGCTTCAGCCTTTGGTACGCATGCACAGATGATGGGATGAAAGTTTAGAATAATATTTTAATTCTAATTATCCAAGATCCTACTCTAACTACTCACAATCTACAAATTGGGGAAATAATTTCTGACCAATTTTCATTTCTCTAATGTTAGAGGCTACTACTTATTGCCATTCTATCGAATAAGAAAGAGAAGGTGTGCCAAGTTAAAATACAAGTCAGCAAAGTAATATTGCTTGTGCTGGCTTATTCGGGTTCGAGTTCCCCTCAGAGATACGAATTGTGATGGCTCAATTCTATGCTGTAAAGGAAATTCATGAATTTGGATGGATGGAAGGGGAATTTCGCCAGGTGTAAAAATTCTCCAAGCGAAAAGAGAAAACGAATTTGCTGAAATGAAATAGGACCTCGAAGCATTTCTTTTCCACTTTTCTATTTCAAATCAAATCAATCTTGGAAGATGTATGTTCGCACTCTGTATTTATCTTCTAAGCGGAAAGCAGGAGGGTCTATGTAGACAGTCGCATGTTGTATTGGAATGAAATCCCAGAATTAGATCTACAGGCTACAGCACGGTCGATCCTTGGTCATCTTGGCATTTCAAAGTAAATAGATTTAATTTGTGATTGAGACTTTAGCTCAGGATTTTTGCCAAAAAATAGTTTCGTCTTCACTCATAATCTAGTATAAATTTAACTTTGAAAATATGTATTCTTAAAGCACCTACATACATTGCCATGAGATCATGTGAGTGCTATGATCCGCATAGTCACATCATTCGAATGTTACATACATACGTCTTGTAAAAATTTCGAGTGAGTGTAAAAATTCACTCTATTCACAACGAGTAAATGAGATTTCTTTCAACTCTGTCAACTCCCATCTACAGAAAAGGTTTTTATAATATAATATGGACGAGAAATAAAAAAATGTCCTTAGCACACTGAAAGTATATGCTCCAAAGTACTGAAATTTGTTGGTTCGCCATTTGAGTCACACTAATATTGGAGGAAAAAGCGCCACTGCTTTAAATATACGTACACATGAGGAATGAAAAGGAATCTTGTTCACTATTCAATTTGGGGGATGGATCATGATCACACGAAAAAGATGGATAAAAATTGTTGAATGCATTATCTGTATCAAGGATTTCTGAAAAAGTGGTATTTCGTCCTTTCTCGGTAGTATGGAAGTCTCAAAGTTCTAAATAAACAGCAAGAAAAGGTTCCAAATTCTTGAACATGAATATGGACTTTCATTTTTGCAATTTCCTGATTCAATATGATCGCAATACTATATAAACGTATCTAAAAGTATGTGCATATGTACATAGCTTCATAGCCACATATTTATGTAAGTATGCAGGATTGTACGCAGGTTCCATATGAAAAGCGTTTTTTATGAATATTATTTGTTGACAGACAAACAAAAATTTGAGCTTTAATATTCCAGAATCTGACAATTGTGGTCAAGATAAGGGCCCAGAGCTGAATATACTTATATTTCCCAATGTTTAAATTTTGAATTGGAAATCATGTTGTTGTTCGAGTGAGTGAGTGAGTGACGTGTCGGGACAATTCTTGGTCTTGTTTCGCACTTCTCACAAAACACACGATATTTCTTTGGTTTGTGTGAGATGTTATTTTGTGAGAGGGTGGTGGTGCTGGGAGTGGATGATGACAAACAGAGGCAATATCCGGAGAGACCACTCTGCCAATTTCCTCTCTCTCTCTTCTTTTTCTGATTTCCTAATCCGTACTAACAATGATACACAACGGACGCACTGGTCTCCTTTCACTTGAGAAAACACAACCTGTCTCGTCTTCTCCTCTCACGAGTGACTTGTGGTGAATACGATGATTCGAAATAGTGCCGGATAGACACGACATGGATGTGATTTTTCTGCTCTCTTCTCAATCACCGTCTTGTCCATTTTGAGTGAAGTTGAAATCAAAAATCTCAAACTTCACCATGCAGCGTCTAGACATATGTGTGCTTTTGTATAGCGATGCCTATGCTGCTTTGCACCAAGAGAAGCCATTGATCTAAAAAGCTGGGGCAGCGGGATGGAAGCCTCTCAATAATATTTCGAATTTCCATTCAAACCAAATCTGTTCCGAATTTGTACTTGGATCTATCAACTTTTTCTCTCGAATAATCTCGGAAGACCCATTTGTGTTGCTCACTCAACCCGCACCCACTAGCTCAATCTATTCACACCATGACTTTCGACGTAAACTTTCGAGAGCACGATCACCAACTGGAGTGAAAGTCCGCTTAGCCATCGGCCTTGATTTTTCAAATTTCGAAGGATGAACAGAGCAATAAACGAGAGAGAAATGAAAAAAGTGTGAAATTGTTCGTATAGAAAATATGCTCAAATGCATGATTTGGCCGAGAAGAACCCTCCAGATGAGAGGGGACGAGCGTATAGTGCGGAGGAGGCGGTGGTGATGGTGGTGACGTGGTGAAAGTTGTTCTCTAAATGTTGGCACATGTTTGCTTGCTGCTTGGAGCTCAGTGTTCAAGTCGGCTTGGATGATGGTAATGCAGACCAGCTGCCACCATGACCAATCATCAACAACACACACCTCACATATGACACATGACTTGGCGCTTTCTCTCTTCGCATATTACCATGCACTGGTCAAGTCGTAAGAAATACAAATGAATCCACTACGACGACACTATGTGCTTTCACCCCCCGGTTCGAAACCTGACAGAATGTTGGACCATAGTATATTGCTCCTATTGCTTCCAATTCTACTTTCCTGCATTTTCTTGACTGTCGTCGACAACTCGAACTAATACATAAATGTAATGAAAGTCGCCTGTTAGTGGCGATGCACAGGAAAATTTGGCATGTCTTGCACATATCGCACACGGAGGAAGGAATTTCCTACTGTGCTGTGGACGGATTGCATTTATTTAATTCATTATATGCATTCAGAGGAGATTTCTACTCCAAACTGAGCTAACTGGGCTGGAGAGAGGATCGTAATTGAAGTTGGAAGGATGGACATGGACAGAGAGAGAAAGCGAGATGACAAAAAGTGTCGCAGAGTGTCGAACATTTGTGGAATCCAAATCCTTCTGAGGAAAGGAGGAGACTGATCGAAATTAAATCCATGCACATCAGCCCCTCAATGAGCCTCATCTAAGCCAAGGACTTTCTCCTGGAATTTATTATCTCTTTCACTCTGTGCCCGTCTCTTTGTGGCCTATTTACATGCTCATTTGGCAAATGTGAATTCCGCTCCTTTTCACTCATTTCTGCACGTTGACTTCTAAATTTGTAAAGTCACCTCGGCAAAGAACTACTTTTAAATTACTTGTATAAATCCTGTTACGTATAATTTTGCAGCTATCCGATCCTTTCCACTTTTACCTAACGCGTCTATTAACAAATCTTTCTTTTATACTCAACATAAATTGCAATGCAGCTGGAAAAGACATATGTACATCTACATGTGTACATCTTTCGACGATTTACTTACTTCAGAATTTTAGAGGAGAGAATTTATTTCGTCGAGGTTTTGCCCCAAGCATTTATCCGATTAATGCTATCGAATGATTGAGAAACTACGTATAATTGTATAATAACAAACATAATTATACAGTATAATTGTACAGCGTTAATTAATAGAGAGCCAGTCTACATAACTGATTCTCTTCAGCGTTGAAAGGTAGAATGATAAAAGGATGATTTAGATTGTACGTACGAGGACCTTGTTATACGTGGTTATGCGATCTCTTTAATTTGCAATCCACAAAATACCGTGGTTGGAAGTAGGATCGTGACTTGTAATTTATCGAAACTGCATTGAATTGGATCATTACGAATTGCAACTGCTCAGACTCTAGAATTAGGCAGAAAATGACCCGAATCATGACTCAGGAAATGGAGCCACTGTCATTAGTTTCAAACGAGGTGTAGCTGGCAGAGGCTGTTCAGTTCCACAAGAAATGAAACATCAAAGGCAATATAAAACGTGTCAGAAAATTAACCCACATTCTTTGTAGAACTACATCGTACTTAAATTGAGATGGAGATGAAGTTCTCTTTGATCTCCTTCCCGTTTACATCATCTTTGAACCAACTCCTCTCTAACGCCAACGACGATTGGTCGTGTTATTGTCCACCAACAACACACTCGACGATGCAAACCACTCAGTCCAAGCACCACGACCCACCACCACCTCAAACAAGGAGCAATCCTGTATTAAAATCGAATTAGAGTTATTACGCCTTCTCACAAAGCGCTCGAAAGGCGGCCCCAAGTTCTGCACATTCTGACATTATGCATATAGGTAAAGAGAGCATGTGCAGCTATAGAGTCATGATCTCGCAGCCCTCGCCACCACATTCTTCTTGTTGATGAAAGCAAAATAACCGTGAAAAGGGAATAATAATCATAATAATAGCAATAATAATTTTAATGCAATGGGAATGACAATGGAAGTATAACGCAGAATGTGGAGGCGAATTTTATGGTTCTTCTAGATATTCCTTGGTGAAGAAAGGAATTCTCCCATTTTCGTTCAATATAGCTCAGTTACGCCATTAAATTTGATGATGACCCTGTCCGTCCGTCGGCTGGAGACACGGACGGAGCCCACTAATAAAGCCCGTCGTGTTCATCTCTAAGACCTTGCCACCACTTTTTCCATTCTCACGAGAACACCTCCTCCATGAGAAATTATTCATGGCACGTGATGCTGACACTGATAATTTCTCTATTGTGCTATTTGCATAACCCTTACACTTTCCTACTAGGAATTTAAAGTTGACGTGAATATTTAGGTAGTCACTAATCATTCACTTGTGAGTTCAATTAGGGCACGGCCAACCAGTCATTTGTCGTATTGTGCACTCCTTCAGCACAAAAATTGCGTTGCCATAAAATTATAAACGATTCTGTTCATATTTCCATAATATTACGTATCTGTTTATTTTAAACAATTGCTAAACTAAAGGCTAAAATGATATTTGATTGCAGGTCTCGTGGATTCGCCGAAAGGATTACCACCTACTCACGGTTGGGCTTCAAACCTACTCGAGCGATGACAGATTTCAAGCAATCCATTCCCAGAGTCCAGATGTAAGTTTTGACATGGTTTTGACTCCTTCTCCTCTTGCATGCATGCGAAACGTTGCTCTGTAATTAAACAAAAAACCGTGTAATCGAATAAATTGAACCCACGTCCCACTTATTCTCACTCCAGAGAGTCGGCAAGAAAGTGATGCTGACAATGAGTAAACGCCCGTGTTTTCCCTTGGCCTATATCAACGTTGACTTGCACACGGCGTCTTGCAGAGCTATAACGAACCTTTTTGCATTCCATGATAATCCCAGCTTTTTATTATACATTCTTAGCGCGTAAGAAGCACCAGGTTGTATTATTTAGAGTAAGACTTGCAGATATATTGTTGTGTCTACAATATTTCGAAAAAATACACGCGCTGAATCTCTACTACTTTAAAGTTCGAGTCGGAAATAACGAATTCTTTTGAAAAATCACGAGTAGTCATTTTACCAATTCTATGCTAAGCCACCATGAAGAACAAGCAACCAGTTTGTCTTGGCAGAGGATATATCACTTTCAAAGAGAAAATTCCAACTCTCTACCCACCAATCTACCCTCTCTCTCTTCCTTTGGAAAATTTTAGCAAGTTGGATGGGCAAAGAGCTTGATCTACTTTTTCAAGAAAAAAGTTTTGCCTCCTCACTTTTTCGTGTATATACAGTTTGTATGTATGGCAAGGCATGAAACTGTCATCTTTCATTCCCTGTGAATTTTGTTACACTGGGATAATACCCGGATTCGAGGATTCGACTCATTTGCACTTCTTCAGAGAAAATCCTATTCGGCTTTTCTTTTCCTGTTTTATCACAAACTCGTCGTCCCAGCCAAGATCTTACTGAATTCAGAGTTTAGTTACTGAAAGAAAGGATTAAGTTGCAGCTGCACAAAAATCTGAACCCGACAATTTTTCCGTCCTGTGCGTAACACCAGAAAACGGCATTCTTAGAAAGTGGGAAATGCGACACAGACTCCAATTTTATTTCTTTCAAGTTCTCACTCCTCAAAGTATTTTCACCTTGAAAAGATAATTGGCACAAAAAAAATCAATGCAATTAAGTCATCTAGGGTCAAATATGTAATGCATGTGTCTGTTGAATTTAAAGCTAAGCACAGATAAACTTTGTTTTTCGCAGGGATTTCAACGAGGATTTACAAATATTTATTTAAACCTCACTCGTTTGTGTTCTTCCGATTTGAAAGCATGTTCAAAAGGGTTCCTTATACTGTAAAGTTTGAAATTAAGTTGGACAAACAGTATTCGAATAAGGCAAAGTTAATAAAGAGTATGCAAATGTGATTTCTCGTTAACAACAGGAAGACTGGCTGACTCCAAATTCTCTGCAGAATTGTACTTCTTGTATGTATGAATGTACAGTGCCTTGTTCACTGTCGATTGTTGTAGACGTGGAAGAAGAAAGTCGACGTCGCTCTAGTTTGTTCTCCAAACAAGAGCAAGTTATGTAATTTGAGAATTTCAGGCAGACTGCTACCACAAAATAGAATGTGGCGATGAACTGAATGTGACAAGAAATAATCAAATGCGCCTTGACAAACCTCTGGGCCATATTGGTTTCGTGGGTTTTGCAGTCAGGGTCCGAAGAATAGGGAAACTGAAATAAAGTAATTGTTCGACAAACTCAGCCAGAAACAAATAAGTTGCGCCTCTGATGGTTTTCAAGACGCGGAGAATTCGGCTGGATTCAGCTACCATGCACTGCACAGAGCATGGCAGGGTGTAAATTAAATGTGACATGGATGGAATTGCGAGAACCTGAGGTTGACTTATTGCTAAGTTGGTTGTTGTTCCTAGTACAAACCTATGTAGCTCAAGATTGTTTTGCTTTCCATTGGATTTCTCTGTATGTACAACATCAATATATTTAGGAACCACAGGGACCTTTTGAATTGTTTAGTCACTCCTGTTCTTTTTGTTCCTGCTGGAATTGACTAAAGTTGCGGATTTTTTGTCACTAGGCAAAACTAGATACAAATACTTTGTCCTGCCAAAAACATAGGATTGCATTGACCTAGAAATTGCGCTACATGGCGAATGTCTATTACATAATAACTATATCCAACATAGAGGCGTATTATTTACGTTAAAGCATTAACTTATAATTTTAAGTGCCTTAGAAGTTAGAAACCACATAAAACTGATTATTACCCACGAGTACTACGATGTTATATCAGTATTTGGATAACATAATTTTCTTCAAACTACTCATGAGCAAGAGTTTTTTATATTGTCAATTTTTGTTAAAAACCCACCTCATTCCACCTATGGGAATGCCACCAATCTGAACCAGGGCCCGTTTAAGGGTCAGGCGGCCTAGGCAACTGCCTAGGGCGCCAAATTGTCAGGGGCGCCGTGAGGCGCCCGGCTGTGTACTAGATAAAAACGACAAATTCGAAAATTGGTAAATGATTTTCTTAAATCCGTTCAGAATGAGTTGTCAGTAGAAAAACATATAAATAATGCTGTGAAACGATCTATGAGGACCATTTGACAAACTTTGCAGCTCTACTTTATTTAACATAGTTTTGGGCAAATAAATTTTGCCCTCAACAGGCAGGCCCAGAATTTTGGTAGGGGTAATTGCTCAGGGCGGAAAATTCTGAGGGCGCCCCTTGGCAAAAGTTTCTTATTCGTGTACAAACAAATTAATTGATGTTAACGAAATTGGTTTAAATTTGGAAATTGTAAAAACAATTTTATAAGTACTAATCTCAACTTGAGATTCTCCAGTTCGAATCTTAATTCTTGCCTTCAAAGTGATTCGGAGCACATATACAATACATACATATGTAATTTAAATCATCGCGTTCCTAGAGGGCCCCAGGGAGGGGTAAGGGCAAAGGGCGCAAGAGGGCGTCGCGGATAAAACATGGTATATTAAGTATTTACTTTATTAATATTTTTAATATCATGGACATAATTTCTACAATTTAGTTAACCCCTCCACCCCAAAAAATCTTGCAAGAACACTTCGAAGCCACAGAGAAGGCCCCAGACGTCGGGTTTTATAGAAGGCTTTTCGAACAATATCTTTGGGTTTAAGCGTGATACGAAAATGAATCTCTTTCTTCGAAAGTTGAGGTGCCAAAATTCAAATAAATTTTCTCAAACGCATGCGTTTCCTCAAACATATACAAGGCAGATCTACATGGGACCAATCTAACAATAAGTTTGTTTACTACAAGATATAAGCATATTAACGTATTTTCCAAAATGCGCTAATTTTAAGCTGCCTTCCAAGCAAAACCTCGAGTTATGAAGAACCTGAACTTTTCGAACCTTAGTGCGAAGTCAAAAATTCGAAAACATGATTCTATGAAAGACTTACTTGAATTATTAAAAATCCAACTATCGCGTAATTTTAATTTTAAGATTTTATATCACGTTCTGACGTTAGTACAAACTACCGTAAAATCTAAAAATTTCATACAATATTTCAGGTGGATTTCTAATAAATCAAGTATTCCGATGGATCATGTTTCATAATATTTTAATTGACGCTAAAATTTTAGAAGTTCCATGGATTTTAAGGACCCGAGCTTTTATCTGGCATTCAGTTAGACTTAGAGCCTTGTGCACAAATTTGTACATTTATGCGAAATTTATGAAACAAAAATATTACAGGTAGGTTTTGTTTAAGGTGAACAAAATAAAATTGGTCTCATTCAAAAATTAATTTGAAGTTTAAAAGATATGTAGTATGAATCATCGGATTTCCTAGGAGATTTGCTAGTCAACATCAAAAAATTAATTTTTACAAAACTTGCAGATATGATTACGACTGTTTTTTAACCTACCTAGTACTCACAAAAGAACTGTTACAAGATTTTCCGGGTAAATTAAGCAGGCTAGACAATTTTTTAGAGAGTTGTAATATTTCTTTATTGAAATCTCCAAACAATCTGTCAGAAACTATGTTTCAAAAATTTGTGCGACCCAAGGCCATTCTACCAAATTATAGAATGGCGAAGACGATATATTGCTATTTTAAAAATGTTGCTATAAATAGTATTTTTAGCAACATTTCGGTAAACAAGAAAATCCCCATTTCTTCAATTGCTGAGTAAAAATCGGAACTGAACGCAAGATGACAGACAGTACTTTAAAACGGCCCCCTGACACTGGAAGTGTTAATGGGTGAAACAAAAGTGGAAGGGAACAGTCAAAGAGCTCATAAAAAATCATGAAGTTAATGAAGACTTGAATTCGTCCGAATTCATGCCGGACCATAAGGAAAATTTCCCCACAAATAAACGGTTTAAGAAAAACTATTTCCCTGGCCCTGAAACTAAACATTGGACATAAGTCTTTAAGATGTGAGGAGATGTATCTGCTAACCGCACTAGTAAAAAAAGACCTACAAGAAGGCAGGCGCTGATCATGCGGCACTCGCTTGAAAAATTAAAATAAATATTTTGAAAAGATAAGCCAACTTTAACCATTGATGCGATATAAAATAAGCAAAAGCACTGTGTCAACACATTGCCAGTTTGTATTGTTCAAAAAATTTCAAAAATAATAATTGGCCCATCCACCATCCTGCTTCTGGGATTTTTTATTTGGATGTCGTCGGAAAAGTGATTTTTCTTCCTCTGAGAGTGAAATTTCGTCAAAAAATATTTTTGAAGTTATCGAGCAAATTGGGTTACGGATGAACCACACTCTATTCAAAAATATCCACTAGACCTTTAACTACGGCTCAGGTCCTACTTATGAAGCCAAAATATCAGATAAGTGGTTGAAATAAAAAATTCCTGCCTCCATTTTAGAGAGAATAAAATTCATCATCACCGAAACCTCAACTTTCTGGAATACGATATATGTATGATCGAAACTGAAGCTAGATACATGTGCAAAAACACAGGTTTGGACTCCGAAAAAAAATCTGTCGTCTAGAAATACCACCAATATCCCGTGGAACGCTTGTAGCCGTACAGCAATCGCGAAGTGGAAACGAAGACTCTGGGCTCGTGTCGTCTTAAGCATGTCAACGCGTCG